GCCTATTCCTTGTGTCTTGATCTTATTGGAATATTGCTAAAAGCGGTGTAAAACCATACGCACTCACTATTGCGACATTTTATATTTTGGCCTGAATTTCACCTTTACACTTCGACCATATTTAAATATGAACTGAAAATTCTGGCCGTTACATCAGTGTGTCGGCACACGTATGTCCCCTTTACCGCGATCTGTACTATTGTACTTTTAAACTATTCACTTGTATTAACTCGCAGGTGTTACTTTATCACTTTATGTCGTTATCAATGTACGCTTCTACACTAAAGTGATAAAATCACTCCTAGGAGGTAATGGGCACTCTGTATCTTTAAAAAATAGTGTTTGGATGTCATGACAAGTGAATAGTTTAGCAGAATTCATAGTTCATAGAATTATACACTTTATACATAGAGTTTATTCCCACACGCCAAGCAAGTTCGCATCAAAATCCGTGTAATCCATGCCAGAAGTTTCTGAGTCTTTCTCTCTGACTTCTTAAGACCTTGTCCACTGCGATGTATCGCCTCTTCCCTACCTGGTTCACGCCTGTGTCTGATAACTTGAGCCATCTTCACTTCGCTGCTCGACCGTTCTTTCTTTACCATGGTTTTAAGTCATAGATGTTGGCCATAGAGATACCAATTAACCGTTTCATATCACGTGACTAAATTTTAGGTGCAGTGAAACGATTTTGAACCGGATGAGAATGAACCTTATAATTACATTTTTCTGAACATAAAACAAGTGATGAACATTTTTGTAAGCGGATACCCTTAAGTCCTTGGCCTACAGGTAAACAGAACGAATTATTGGGTACACATTGATCATACCAAACATATGTTCATTAATGTCCTGTTAAGGGACTGAAGCCAAATGGTTTAGGATAAACGTGCGGTAACGTCCAACGGCAGGTGCATATAAGGTGAGGTGAAATGGGGTTTAACGTCGCGTCCAAGATTAATGCACTTATATAGCGACGTGCATGTACGTGTGTGTTTGTGTTGCTGCTTGTACTAGTCCGGACTGATGCCGATTTATAGTGCTAGCTCACTGAGAATCCATGCCGCAGTTTAATGCCGAGCGCCAGACAGGGTAACAACAAGTACCATCTTTTAACGTCTTTTGTTATGACGCGGTCGGGCATCGAACCCCGGACCTTCCGCTCTCCGGGCGGACGCTCTACCACTAGACCATGGCGTCTGGTGCATATAAAGTACAAAGGAACTTTTAACTTTAATTAATATAAGTAGTGTTATGCTTTTCAGTTCCGCAGTTTCCGGGCGCCGTATTGAAGTAAAAGATGTTTATTTTAATTAGATCCAGTGCAACCATGCTGCAACACAAAACCATCCACATGAGTGAGTGCGTGAGTGAGTTGGGTTTAACGACGCTTTTAACAGTATTACAGTTATATCGCGGCGTGTCAGCTTAATGTGGGAGGAAAGCCCGAAGTGATCAAGGTCTCAGACGTTTACCACTTCGGTGAAACCCACGAGCACGGGTATGGTGCTGACAAACCTAGAAACATAATCGGGGCGAACCGGGATTCGAACCCACAATCATAGGTTTCTGGCGTGCCCAAGGGACGCAACTATGCACAACAAATCGCGGCGCCTTAGACGACTGGGCCACCCGTGCCCCCCAATCGACATGATGATTGGTGGTTGCTGTAACTGCTCCGTGAACATCTGAGTTAGAATCGCGATATGGCTACAATATTGCCGATGCGATGTAAAATTTAACTCGCTCACTCTGAGTTAGAACTGGCATGCTTGTTGTAATTAGCGACTGACGGGATCGAGTGGTCAGACTCGGTTGATGCATGTTGTTGAATCCCAACTGCTTAGATCGATTCTCATGATGTCACTCACTAGATTGTCTGGTCTAGACTCGATTATATACAGGCTGTCGTCATAAAGCTGGAAGTGCGGCGTTAAACAACAAACAAACAACATATCAACATATGCAATATGAATTTGCTTTTTATCCAATGCTGCTTCGTTATTTTAGACATTGAAGCTTCACAATCCGATATGAACTAGTCTGAGAAATTATTGATTCATCCATTACACTCTTCAAAAAATGAAACGCACTGGTAGATTTTTAGTAAATTTATTGTACCTTTTAAAGTCGATATATTTAATGTAATAGAAATATGAAATTTTGGAGCTCGATAGTCACATGTTGTCATTGAAAACTGTTCATTGTCATGTCACATAAGGCCATAAGGTTGCGCTGAACTCAGCATCTCGTGCGACCGCCCCGGGCAGCAATCACGGCTCTGAATCACGAATTCTGTCCTGTGGAATTCTGCGCCATTCTGCTTGTAACGCGGAGTGTCTGCGGCGTGTTCTGACGTTGACGTACACGTCAATCGAGTTCATCCCAGAGGTGTTCGATCTGGAGATCTCGGCCAGGGCAAAACGTTGATGTTGGCATTATGAAGGTAGTCTACCATGACACGGTAGCGTTGTCCTGTTGAAACAGTTCCCTCTGTCGGTCAATGATAGGAAGAAGGTGAGGTTGAAGAATTTGATTCATGTAGCGATTTGCTGTCAAATGTCCCTGAACCACAATCAAGTCAGATCTCGAGGTGTAGGATATGACCCCCCACACCATGACACTACCACCACCGAATTTGTCGAATTCACGTACACAATGTGGGGCAAAACGCTCATTTCGACGACAATAAACGCGTTGTCTTCTATCTCGCCGGTGAAGAAGAAATCGTGATTCATCGCTAAACTACACTTGTCTCCAGTTTCTCAAATTCCACGGCTGTAATGTATGGCACCAACGCAAGCGTCGCTGTCGATGGATCTGTTGCAAAACAGGGACGATAACTGGTCTTCTGGGTCGGACTCTAGCCTCGCGAAGATGGTTCCTGACAGTCTGGTCCGATATCCTCCTCAAACCAGGGATGCGTACTGCAGTCTCCGTAGCTGTGGCATTGCGATGACTTAGGTGGAACAGTCGAATGTCGCGATCCTGTTCAGGGGTGGTAACTCTTGGTCGGCCGGTTTTCGGGCGGTCTGCTGTGGAATTGAAGTGTGTGTATCGGTAACAAAGGCGGCAAATGGTGCTGTGATGGACGTTGAAGTGGCGTACAACAGAAAACTGCGATTCCCCTCTTTGGATACGTCCTATGGCGATGTTCCGATCGGCAGCGCTGAGTCTCGGCATTTTCAAATTTGAAAAATGTTGACAATTGAATGACAAGTTATTAGCATATGTTTGTCTTTTTATAGCCACTACCACGAGTTAGGAATGTCATAACTTGCACGTGCATTCTGGTTTACTGTTTTCCTCCATGACATTTTTGAACAAGTGTGAATACAATACCGTTTAAGACATTGCGAATCGACAATGGCTGCGTTTTGACGCACCGTTTGTCGAATATCAGGCCGCCAAAATTTTCCAATAACATATATCCAATTTATATGCCGGAGCATTTGTGTAGTCAGGTTAAATGAACTACAAACTACCTGTGCGTTTCTTTTTTAAAATAGTGAATGCATGTATTCATATTCCAAGGCTTCCATTTAAACTGTATGTTTGGGGTTATAATCAATGTAATACTTGACAATCACCATGTCTAATACATGAATGTCATTAGTCCCGGCTGATTCACCTTCCAGTGACTTTCAAGTCAATTTGTTTATTGGCGTATATTCTTGTTAATCAGTCTCTTTCTTTCTTTCTTTTTATTCGCATCAATCTTTGTCAATTAGAGAGTACTTGTGCATGGCATACACAGTGAGTGAGTGAGTATGGTTTTGCGCCGCTTTTAGCAATATTCTAGCACTATCACGGTGGGAGACCTTTTTGAAAGCTTTACAGAGGCCTTGAATGCTGAATATTTTCACTGGATCTACATTGAACTGCTGGAGTGGTCCATATCATGTAATTGAGTTAAATAAGCCAGTTCGGCTCGAATCAACCCGACGGCTGACCCAAGTCATGTGAAGCTGGGCCGGGAGTGTTATTATAAGACGTCAACGCCAGAGAATAGTCACGACGGGCGACACCAGAAATTGGTTTCCATTGTACCCATGTGAGGAATCGAACCGCGACGAGCAGACGCTTTAACAACAAAGCCACCTCGCCGCCATATATAATACATTAAACGTCAACGTGAGAGAATAACCAGTTTTGATCCTCAGACGAAGCAGATTCCTTTGGGCGTAAATGGTGAGGTGGGGTGAAATGGGGTTTAACGTCGCGTCCAAGATTATTGCACTTATATAGCGACGTGCATGTACGTGTGTGTGTTTGTGTGGCTGCTTGTACTAGTCCGGACTGTTGCCGATTAATAGTGCTAGCTCACTGAGATACCATGCCACAGTTTAACATGAATACCCAACTCAGACACAGTATACTGACCAGTCCTTGTTCTAGCCCCTTAATGGGGCTGTCGGCTAGCCTAGTGGTTAAAGCGTTCGCTCGTCACGCCGAAGACCCGGGTTCGATTCCCGACAAGGGTACAATGTGTGAAGCCCCGCCGTGATATTGCTGGAATATTGCTAAAAGCGGCGTAAAACCATACTCACTCACTTTAGCCCCTTAATGCAGAGTGCCAGACAGGGTAACAACAAGTACCATCTTTTAACGTCTTTTGGTATGACGCGGTCGGGGATCGAACCCCGGACCTTCCGCTCTCCGGGCGGACGCTCTACCACTAGACCACGGAGGCGGTCCGTAAATGGTAAAATAGCGGTGAAAAGTATATGAATGGATCACTGGAAATCAGTGATGACACCGGGTGGTCGGGTAAGCATGCCCTGACCTATCTGTAGCACCCGTCACACAATTTGCATGAAGAGTAACACGTCAAAGCCATCATTGTCAATACGTCTATCTAACAGGGCTTCTTAACACAACACAAACATCAATAGAAAGCTTTGAATTACAGGCAATATGATCTGCCACGCTTGATATCCTAATCAATCACTCTTGTCTCCGCGGTGAGGGTGACACACGACTACAAGAGAATACTGCGACTCACCATGCACTGCTGGCAGAGGTGTCTCCATGTTGTCAATGTAACCCTGTGGATATTTTCACTGGTAGAGTTATGTAAGTACATGTTTCCAAAACACGATATTCTAATTTACCTTTTCAGGTATTATCCACTGTGTTGGTTCGTATGTTTGTTGTTTAACGCCGCACTCAACAATATTCCAGCTATATGACGGCGGTCTGTAAATAATCGAGTCTGGACCAGACAATCCAGTGTTTAATGTCATTAGCATCGATCCATGCAATTGGGATCGATGTCATGCATCAGTCAGCCACCCTGACCACCCGATCCCGTAAGTCGCCTCTTACGACATGCATTGTCGCCTTTTACGGCAAGCACGGATTGCTGAAGACCTATTCTTTCCCGGATCTTCACGGGTCTTATCCAATGTAAAAAGGTAGGAAATAAATGAATGTTTAAAGTTAGGAACAGACCATTTGCTATTCTTGGGGTGGCCTGGGAATATATATAAGGATTGATATGTTTTCAGCTGCAGCTGAAAAACAAGAAACATATTACGTTAAAATTATTAGCCTAATTTTTAAAGCTTCTTGCAACAATGTATTTTTGTGGCAGATAATTTCGTTGGGTTTTTTTTCAGCAGTTTGAACCATAAATATTTGTTCACGCATTTTCGGGGCCAATATATTGTGGTTCTTATTATCGTTGTACATGTACATTTTAGTCAAATCTGATGCTACCAACATTGCGCTGAAGAAGTCCTCCAAACAAAGCAACGCTCACGGGCAAGACCGTCCAGAACGAGGCAATGACGGTAACTCTAACACGGACTATGATGAGGGTTCCTGTGTTCATGGGCAACCGAGTCCGGCCTATCCCCTACCATGGTGGCAGGTGGACTTAGAATGGATGTGCCATGTAACAACCGTGGCAATCACTAACAGAGATGCATCAAATGGTACGTTTACCCTCTGTGGTACTGGGATTTTAGCTAAACACAACATTTGTCTCAGAAGATGCTTGAAAAACATAATTGTACTTCTGACTGTTAAAAAAGAAAGAAATTATACATTGTTGCAAGCTTTTTTTGCTGTGGTTGTAAAACAAGAGGTTGGTTTGATGGATTCAACTGACATCTTGTATGGATGTTTGATACTATAGGTTTGTTCAAGGCATGAAAATTTGAATTTCAATATGACCGCCAGCTAGCCATCTATGATTTAACAAAACCATATTAAAAAATCATCTTCCTAAGTAGAGGGACAGAGGCCTAAAACTTGGTGGATAAAATCGTCACCATATGTAGTTCCAGATTTGTTCGTGTCATCTTCGTCGGGAATCAGATATCAGCAGCCATATAGGAAAATGCAAAACGTCATGCATCATTAGATGCCACTTGGTCAATTACAAAGAAACTTCACGTGCTTGTTGCCACCAAACCTAAAACCTGAATTTTTTTAGGAGGTTCGAATCTGATTTTTGATATACCCACCACGGCAGTTTGAACAAGCAATTTGTGGCCATTACACAATCGTTAATATTCAACATGTAATGAAATTTAGTGCATTTGCAGTAAGTTGTGAGATTTAGCATACATGTTCGGGTCTCTCCCCCGATAATTTTGACCTTTGCTCTTGAGACTTACAGAAAGCTGAAAAGTCTAATGGCCATTACGCGCCAATTTATGCTCATCAAATGACATTTGGTATATCTGTAATCAGACGTGGGTCTCAACACACATGTTCTGTTTATCGCGATACTTTGAATTTTGACCTATATCTGACCTTTGGACTTTGACCATGCTCTTAATTTCTCTCAAAATGCAATCCTTCGCATTGTCAAAATCCTCTGCTCAGAAACAATTGACCCAATGAAGCTGAAATTGCTCGTGTTTGTTCTCATCAATGATGACACCTTAATTTGTTCAAGAGGTTTTAATGCGATTTTCAGTGTGACCGCCTCAGGAGCCATATTGAAAATAATCTATTTATGTCTAATTCTCTGCCATTCTGGTACCAAATTTAATGAGAATTGATTTTAGTGTTGATATTTCAAACTGTTCACTTCATATCCAGGTGAGCTACAGTGCCTGTGACACTATTTTGCGTATATAACCACCTGTTGTTTTTACCACACAAGCACCCTGTGCGCTTACAGTCTGAATCACGTATCGCTTTTCCTCTAAAATAACCCCTGCATGGGAATTGGAAACACTGTGAACATCCCTTACGTTGTCATTAAGGGGCTAAAACAAGGACTGGTCTGCTTGGAGTCAGTATACTGTGTCTGAGTGGGGTATTCATGTTAAACTGCGGCATGGTATCTCAGTGAGCTAGCACTATTAAATCGGTATCAGTCCGGACTAGTACAAGCAGCCACACAAACACACACACACGTGCATGCACGTCGCTATATAAGTGCAATAATCTTGGACGCGACGTTAAACCCAATTTCACCTCACCTCTTACGTTGTAATGTCATTATGTAACAAATGATGATTGATGAACAACAACGAATCTCCCTATGCCTTCAGAAATGTAAGAAACGGATATTTCTCATATATTTGTGTGTGCCTGGTATCCCATATCACGTTGTTTTAGTTTCGTTGTTCATCTCATCACAGTGGAGGGGGAAGCTGTGACAACAAATTGGATTTAGACTTATTCGCCTTCTGAAGAGTTTAACAAAAACACATATTTGAAAATACTTCATGTACGTAGTTTACAGACCCGTGAAGATCCGGGGTAGATTAGGTCCTCAGCAACCCATGCTTGCCGTAAAAGGCGACTATGCTTGTCGTAAGAGGCGACTAACGGGATCGGGTGGTCCGACTCGCTGACTTGGTTGATGCATGTCATCGTATCCCAATTGCATGGATCGATGCTCGTGATTATTAATTTATTTATTAACCTGTCACGTGTTACAAAAGAGAGATATATAATGTTCTTTGGCATATTAAAAAGTAACACCCAGCCATTAGATGTATGAGAGAAAATAAAACACTATATACATTATATACTATAAAATACATTGACAATAAAATTTACATACACTGAATGCTAAATGCCTAGCTAAATGATCACTTACGTTTAAACATCTTTAAAAGTGTACTGGCTAACAAAGGCTGAATTTCTTTACATTTTAAAATATAAATGAAAGCGTCATCAACGCTAATATTTTCAAAGAACGGGTTTAAAACAATACATTCTCAAAGTAAAATACTTCTAAAATCATCATCTAAAGGACATACCATTTAAAAGTGAAATTCATCTTCGACAGACTTTTGATGAACATATTTAAAACAGTGCGGGCAGATTCTATTTTCTAAAAGGATTGGTGGAGTTGTTAAACATCCAGTTTCGATAGCAAGGGATAAAGATCCAGATCTAAAACTAGCTAAAATGCGACGGCGGTCCCTGTATTTAATACTTAAAACATAAGGAGCAACAACGTTGCGATCATGAAATTGCCTGTTAGTTCTTAGTTAACGTTATGTTTATCGCTCCAAAGCTCTGTTCTCCATCTCAGTTCATCGGGTTTTTTATGAGAACGTTTTTAATATGGGCAATTTTCTTCTGTCAGGACATTGGAGCAGTTAAAATATCATAAATATTAAGATTACAGGCAATTTTATCAACTTTATTACTCCATGAACTTTTATAAGACTTAGACATAGTAAACATTTTCTTCATCTAATCGTTACAAATACTGTTGTTAATCTTGATGTACAGTCTAAAAACATTTACATGTAATTCAACAAACGGGGAGTAGAGACCCATATCTCCATTAGTGGCTATATTGGAGGTACGTTTACTAACACCAAGACAGAATTTACAGGCTCTATTTTGGATTAGGTTAACTTCTCTATAAACGTTCAGTCCCAATATACTAGCGCCAGACAACACTACCGGCTCAACAAGACTTCAAGACTAAAAACATCATAAGATATACCCCAGCAGAATATAACTTAGATATTAACGAAGACAAAGCACGGCTGGCAGATTTGTACAACTCTTTAACAGTTTTCTTCATCTCTAGGTGCTCGTCAATCCATAATCCCAGACAACGATATGATTCTACATAGACCAGTGTTTTCCCAGCGTAGAGGAATAAAACAGATGATCTTGGCTGTAATACATTTCTAAAGTTAATAACATTTGTCTTTTTCATATTCACTGACAGTTGCCAAGGTGCTGACCATTCATGCAGTACATCAAGCATGGGTTGTAGTGAACATTTACCAGGGGCAGTTAATGCAATATCATCAGCATACATTAAAATGGAGAGCATAGACTCAACAGGTACACCACAATTGAGATTGTTAATATCCTCAGCCAGGTCGTTAACACAGACAAAGCAGGTGATAATGTACAGCCTTGCTTTACACCATGATTAACAGTAAAGTGTTCTGTAAGAAATTATCCGACACGTACAGTACAATTGACATCTACATACAATGACTGGATAGCATTCAATATCTTTCCTCGATCTCAAATACAGTAAACTACGGTTAGAACGAACACGCTTATAACGAACTGACGGATATAACGAACTAAAATTAGTAGTCCCTTTGAGTTCGTTATAACCGTAGTTTACTGTATTTCTCAACTTCAACCACAGAAATCTCTATTGTCGAAGGCTTTTATAAAATACAAATGTAACAAAGGTTGACTGTTTTTTGTTTTTTCTATACTGAATTAAAGAAGTTAAAACATACAAATGATCAATAAAATCTCTTTTTTATCTAAAACCATTTTGCTCATCTGCTAGGATAGTGTTCTTTTCAAGCCACTCAGTTAGTCTTGAATTGAGTACATAAGCATATACTTTACAGGGAATAGATGTTACCGTGATACCTCTCTATCCCAAAGGGTCTCTAAAATCCTTCGTATCACTCTTAGGAATATGATGGATTATACCGCTGTCCCACATAGCTGGTACAGTTCCATTTTCAAAGCAGTATTTAATAATTCTGTACAACAAATCAATTGAACTTAAACAATTTTTAACACTTCAGCAGGAATATCATCCACACCTGCAGTCTTTCCATTCTTAAGTCTAAAACAGCCTTTTCAACTTCCTGCACTGAAATAGGTTTATTTAAAATGTAAGTATCGAACATGGGAGACTGATCTAATGTAGGATTCACATTTAAAATACAATCACCAGGTGCTGTGTTAAGTAGTGGCTGATATGCATTTATCCATTTTGATAAAACAGAGTCACAATCATATCGGATGTTTCCATCATCATCAGTGACTTCAAAAGGAACTTGTCCATTTCTATCATCATCTAGTCCGATTTTTCCAATTTTTTTCCAAAAGTCTTTTTCATTATTTTGACCAAGGGACGCAGCCAATTTATTTTGCTGATCAAGCGCGTAGTTGCGCTTCATTTTACGGTTAGTGATGTCAAATGTTTTCCTTTTATCTGTATATACCCTTTTTAGCTTTCTTTTTTCATTTTTGTTACCTTTAAACCTCAACCATTTCTTTTCATATTCACAAACAGTATTCCAAAGGGCTTGCAAACCAGCATTCCAAACATGCCACGCATTAAATCGAGAAGTTCGTCATCTCTTCTCACCTCTTTATGTGAATCACTGAGATCTTGTTCTGTGAGAGGTCTCTTTCTAGAAGGTCCATCGTTTGATGTAGTCACATCGTGCTGAGGGAGACGAGTTGTGTTGTCTGGGTGGGTCAGATTTTGAATCTCCGCCATTACGTTCTTCACGAAAGATTGACCTTCCATCATCTCCAGGGCCATGCGGCAGAACCGATCGTGCAGGAAAAGAGAATAGAAAGTTGTGTGAGCCTAAAGGTAGTTAAAGCAAAGGATCACAGGGTACAATCGGGTTAAAACAGTGTTGGCGTACTAAAATTGGAATGTTTTACCCGTAGCAGCTTTTTCGTGACCTCTCTTGGACCCCCGGCATATAGCTGGAATATTGCTGAGTGCGGCGTTACACAACAAACAAACAAAACAAACAACACAGTTTACAACGGGATGTACTCACTTTGCTGTCATGATTTCTTCTCAGGTAAAAATCTCCAGACCGAGATTATCCCCAGAACAATAGGGGTTAAGACTAGTTCCAGACTTTAGTGTAAACTGCTGTTGGCATACTGAGTGTAACTGTCTCGACATATTGTAACTGACCATCAATAAAGCATATTTTATTATTAACTTTATCAATTTATAAAAACATCAGTTTTAAGGTTTATAGAAAGAAAAGCACATAATATAAGTAGAATGAATACCACAAACATCACCGTGACAATTCACAGAAAAACTTCAGCTTTTAGTTTCAACATTTAACCCAACACTGTATGAAACAGCGTCGCCATATTGAAGACATGATGCGGTGCCAACTTCCGGTTTACGTTTATGGGTGGCGAGTCGCACGTCAAGCTGGCGGTACTTTTTCTCCTTGGGTCTGAGTGAGCAACTTGGTAGGATGGAGGATCGTTACCTCAGTGAAAAATAATATACTTTGTGGTACAATTTTCTATTTTCAGCATGGCGTCTTCACAACTTCACAATTGAGCTTTACCGTGAAGATCCGACGGTTCATCCCAACACTAAGGCCCAAATCTGCGCCGTATACCCTGGCACAGTGGCCTCCGGAGCCAGTGTAACGCTCACCTGTGCTCCAGGGGTGAGGGGTCGTTACCTGAGGTTTCAGAAAAACAGCGTGAAATTCGATGACGCAGTGCAGTTCTGTGAACTAGAGGCCTATGGTATCAATGGTAAACACATCCTAATAATATACTACCTTAAGTTTAATAAAATCCATAACTTGGTTCTGTAGTTCATATATTTTGGGGCAATCGAAGAGTCCTTGGCCCCAGCGTTACCACATCAAACAGAGATCAAGGTAATTTTTAAATCAATCATTGTTATCAATAAAGCTTGAATATCTACTGTATTGTGATTATAGGAACAAGGTCAGTGTTCTCGAGACATCCATCACAGCAAATGTCAGGGGCTTCTGTCGGAGAGAAAATGGGGAGCCCACTGTCCTGTGGTGAAGATTGCCATCGTATGCCCTGTTGTGCTGGCTTTAACTTCCATGGAGACAGTGAAGGTACCTGCAAGTTCATGTCGATGGATAATGGGGAACTTGCAGCTAATGCGTCATGGAGCTACTTCGCTAAAACGGATGTGTATTAAAAAGAACGGTACCTCAATGGCGGAAACTGCATTTGTATTGATGTCACCTTTCATTTCATGGAGCTACTTGCAAAAATACGTATTTATAAGAGCAAACACTTTCGAGTTTGGATGTTCCTGTTTTGTTTTGACCTCACTTTCGATACTTCTTGGAGATACGATCTCGTACTTTGCAAAATAATTATATGTTTTTATATGAGCAACACCTTACCACAGAAGACGTTTTGCGTCTGGGAGATACTAAACTAAAGAGCAATAAGTATTTGGAAGAGCAAACCTCACTTTGTCCGAACGTCTCACTCCAGTATTCCCACCACCTGCATTGATTCGTGGATCTTCTTTGGGA